AGACAAAGCAGATTCATTCGTCAACCTCTCGGAGCACATCTTGAACGCAGGTGAAAAATCCTTGCTAAATAGAGGACTTTCGTTTTGCCCATCACGGAGACCAGATCCCATCAAAATGTGTGCTGACCTCAACGATTTTTCACGCAAAATAAAACTCAAAGAGTTCTTCAAAGATAAAGACAGCAACTTGGCTACAAACCAGACCAAATCAATGCCTCATCTGCCAAACCTCACAAAGGAGCCGTTCACACCTAAAATGGGAAGAAACCCCCACGTCGACAACTTCGTAAATACTGCGAAGCATCACCTTAATACTTTTATTAACGAACAAGCCGAAACAGAATTCAAGGATAATCTCACCAAGCAACAACGAAGAGCCATCAACGAGTTGAAATCCAACAGTAAAATCACAATCAAACAAGCTGACAAGGGTGGTGCGACTACCATTATGAACACTAGCGATTACGTATTCGAAGCTGAATCACAACTCTCTAACAACGAATATTACAAGAAATTAGATCTGGACCCAACCAAGACCTACGAAAATGAACTTATAAGTATGTGCAATAATCTATCTGAGCTATATCTAGGGACGATACTTTAAAGTTAATACCTGTTTGTCATCACTCTGGAAAGTTTTACACTATTCCCAAACTCCATAAATTGCCTACATTGCTTAAATCGAAACTTAATAACTCTGAGCTCCCTGAAGACAAATCAGTTATATTCGACTTAGCTAGAAACCTTCATATCATCCCCCCTGGTAGACCGATAGTTTCCTCAATAGGCACCCTCACCGAGCATTTGTCAGGCTACGTAGACCATATCATTAAACCATTAATATCTACGATTCCCAGTTACATACAAGACTCTACACATTTTCTGAACGTTCTTAACAATCTGCCTCCCCACCACATAACCCCATCCTTTTCACCATGGATGTATCGTCATTATATTCGAACATCCCTCATTCCGAAGGATTACACGCTCTCAGATCCTTTCTCACCTCACGATCACTCTCATTGGACAAAGTCAATGACATTGTAGCCATTACTAACTTCATTTTAACACACAATAATTTTACCTTTAATGATTCTCACTACCTACAAATAAAAGGCACAGCTATGGGGACTAAGATGGCACCACGCTAACATATTTATGGCTGAACTTGAAAACAATCTATTATCATCACTTAATCTCAAACCTCTATGCTATTATCGATACATAGATGACATTTTCATGATATGGCCTCATGGCGCTGACAATCTTAAAATGTTCATTCACATATAAAATTTACTTTAGAACAGTCTCGCACATCCCTGCCATTTCTAGACGTTTCCGTATCGCTTAACAATAACAATCAGCTCACCACCTCACTCTACACTAAACCCACAGATAGTCACGCTTTTCTTAATTTCAATAGTAATCACCCACTTAATTTTAAAAAATCTATAATATACAGCCAATGTCTCCGTCTAAAACGTCTACATGTTCTAACCCCATTGACTATGAATTCCATGTGTCTAATTTATTAGGTTTCCTTCTCAAAGCTGGCTATCCCCTTGACATGATCAAATCGCAAATTAACAAAGCCTCCACACACTCCCGTTCTGATCTACTCGCTTACAAGCCCAAAACTCAATCAGAACGCATCCCCCTCATATTCGAATTCCATCCTTCCAACAAGACTGTCACCAAAACTATCAAAGACGACTTCTCGCACCTCCAACTCGACAAATCCATACAACACTTATTTAATACACCACCTATTCTTGCCCACCGCCAGCCACCTAATTTGAAATCCCTTCTCACTTTCTCACCCATCACTACTAAACCTCCTTCATATGGCAATATGAAATGTAATAAGCCTCGCTGTCAAATTTGCACACATATTATAACTAACAGCACAATCACACTCCCAGTCACTAACCACAAAATTCACCCCCCTCAACTCACATGTGACTCTACCAACGTGATTTACATCATAATGTGTAATGCATGTGATCATGGCACCTACATCGGTGAAACTGGAGCTTCTTTTAGAAGTAGATTTAATAATCACAAGTCATCTATCCGCACCCATAAGAACCTTCCCATAGCCACACATTTCAATTCTCCTAACCATAACATTAGTGATTTGAGATGCACACTCATAGCCAACAACTTAACGATCGCTGAATTTCCGAACTCAAACTCATACTTAAACACAAAACCCACACCATAGGCCTTAATAGAGATATAGACTTTCTCAGTGATTACAACTTCCCATACAATTGATTCTCACCATCTCTTTATTCTGTTCTATATCGATAGCTGATATGTGCTTTCCTTATTTACACCTCTTTATTATTATTTTTATTTTTATATTTTTACATGTATATTATTTAAATGTATATATTATCTTTATCTGTACATTATATAGCCTATTTATATGCCTATAGGTTTATTTAGGTTTGTTTGTTTGTTTGTTTTTTGTTTTTTTCATATATTCCATCTTTTACTCTTTAATACTTCATAATCATTTACTTATTGTGTAGTTAAATCCGCTTCCCACCATATTGTTCTACTATGTACGTTTAATTAAGAATTGTTTAATCTATAACACCACTATCTCTATACTTGACCGCTTTGTTCTCTGTCGGATTTCTCTTTATATATTACCGCATAAACTATTAGATAATTGGCCTATAATCCGTCTACACCTCTATTGTATTGTTCATATTGTACAGTATAGAACTTGTAACAGCCAACTTGTACATTCAGTAAAGCTGATGAAGGCCAGAGGACTGGCCGAAAATTTCTTTCGAAAATAAATGAAGTGTTCTACAGTCTACATGCCTTGTTGTCATAATTTTTTGTTTCAACGACTCCTGCAATTATTCTAGAGCAACGACAGAAAAAATGACAGATACCGCATTCGGCTTTGCTACATGATATGGTTGGTGTTTCTCCGACAGGGATCCAAAGACCCCGATCGGGGGTGGGGGAGGGGAGTGCGGCTGATGTCCCTGACGAGAAAAAAGTCGAGCGTTGCAAAAAAGAAAAAAAAAAAAAAAAAAAAAAAAAAAAAAAAAAAAAAAAAACGAAATTGGCCCAGGGGGCAAATTTTTGGGCTTTCAAATGCTTATTTTGATTAATTTTCCCCGATTTTTGGGTCAATTAATATGTAAAAAAATACATATAATATTTCTTTCTTTCTGACAAATTGTGCTTTTCTCCCCTCTCCCTATAATATAATAATAATAATAATAATTGGGAAATATAACAGGCCTAACTGCAGGAAGAACTTTAAACATATAATATAGTGTCTAGAGAATGCTTTGGTTAAAAGAATACAATAAAAATCAAGTACTGTACTTACACATTACTTTCAAGCCAATTTGATAGCTGCTTTTGCTTTTTTCGCTTTTGAATTGATCACTTTCAGATTTACATGTATAATTGCCACTATCATCTCCCGTTGCATTTTCAATGAGCATTTCAAGTTCATCTTCACTTTCAGTAAATCTAATAGCGTCTGTAGTATTGAGCTCCTGTCCATTTTTATACCATGTGGTATTGGAGGGTGGGTTACCGTCGGGTTTACTGCAGGTTAAGGTCACTGCCTGACCTTCATATGCAATACTTGTTGAGGAATTGAGGACAGGTGCGTCTAAGTCTGCAAATAACATATTAATTGAAATGTAACAAAATAAGACTTTCAGGCTGGATGCCTATATCATCTGTAATAAGATAACAAGATAACAAACAAGATATGCCTTTTGTAAATAGACTAGAGCTACTTCCGCTAACATTCCCCCCTTAGAATTCAGAAGAAATCTAATAACTCTTTTATTTATTGTCTTTCTGGTGAACTTGTCGGTGATTTTGTTTTTCTTAAACTTACGTTTCACGTCAATCCCAGATATCCTAACATACTCAGGCGTATATTTAATCATCATGCTCACAGAACGTCATAAATAAAAATAAATTAAAAACCAGCTACTATACAAACATTTTCTGAATAGTAATAAGGAGGCTTATCCTGCTTTAATCATTATGTTTTTACGAATAATTCCACATTTAATGCAGGTGTATAGAACTATCCCAAGTTATACTGCAAGTACTGGGTACCGGTATGCCTAGGTAAGCTAGGGAAATCTAATTTTTACATCTAGTCCTAACCAAGCTAGGCCTTACCTAGCGATCACAACGACTGCAACGCCGCACCCCGCGTCTTTTAATAACCCAATGAAAGTTTGTGTCCGTAAAAACGAAAAATCAATTTTTCTCGAATTGTGCGCAACGGCAAATTAGCTTAATTAGCTAATTAGTTTAGTTCCACTCTTAAAAATTAGATGAAAAGCTAAATTTCGTTGTACATAATCAAAATGTCAAAGATAAAAATATTGAAAAAAATATGATTTTTGAAGTTTATGTCACTTCGTGAAAACGGTGACGTTCTATAAACATTACAATCAAAGAGAACTAAATGCAAATATTATTTGGAAATCTTTCAGTTTAGAAGTTAAAAACCAAATTGAAAATGAGTACGCATGTAATAGCACTAAATCCAGTATGAAATGGTCGACTGTAAAAGACAAAGTTATCGAGTCATTGGTTTAATGATGATGATGTTGTTTTTGTAGTAATTAAGGTTGTAAAGTTTTGAGAACGTTATGAAAACAACTTCTTAACATTATTATTATTATTATTATTATTATTATTATTATTATTATTGTTGTTGTTATTAATATTACTACTATACAAGACTGATATGGTAAACTCTATATGGGTGTATATGTATGTATGCGTGTATGTGTATTGGTGTAGGTGTATGTGCGTGTATATGTATATATACCGTATATAGGTGTATGTGTATATATAAGCATTGTGTATATGTTTATGTATATTATAAGTTTATTTTATCGAGTGTTTTATTAAGAAACATAATTACATGTCCTTATTTTACCTTACAATGTATTTTATCAACAAGTCATGAAATATTTTATATTTCTGAATCTTAATACTTTATATAGGTAGAGCCTACATGTATTCAATGACACTGGAATATATAATAGGAACCATAATCAATTATATCATGCAAAGTTATAATTGTTAAATTATAGACAAAATATCAAGCACTAATAAGTAAAAATTTATCAAAATAATAATTGTTTATAGAAATTTCATGTGATAGTGTAGATGTATATTTAGTTTCCAATAAAGTCATCATTCATAAGTTAGCACCTATCATAATGACAATTTAACCTCAAAACATAACTAAGACTCGGTTAGGTAATGCAGAAGTACGTACGCACACACGTGTTCAGGAAAGCTTTATCTTCTCTGATTGGCTGAAAATGGAAGAGCACTTATACGTGCAAAGCCTAGCTGCGAACAAGACAATCTCAACATTGCTGTTGTAGCAGTGAAGAGCATTAGGTAAGTGTGTATTCTTTGCGCACGCGATTTGAAGCATTAACAAGACTATAAAACATTCAAAATTGTATATTTTCTGCTTATTTTCACGGTTTTTGTTGCAAATACAAGTTCACCTCAATAATAACGATCGGTCGTTAATTTTAAACAAAGGAAATAATATTTATGCACTGTACTATAAGGGCCATAACATGAGAGTGGAACTTAATTTATCGAATTTAATTTTTAATTTACCCCAAAATTTTCGCTTATTTAAATGAGAATTTAGGTCTGGTACCTAATTTCTCAATGGTACCGGAATTTTCGTGACACCGGCTAAATTAAAAAAGAACTGTAAAGCTCATTATTACATCATCGCTTATAGTATTTAGTATAGGTCTTATCTTCTATATTTCATATTAAAGAGATTGTGCACATAGGGGAAAAAGATTAAAAATGACGACTTCCTCAACGATTAATCGTTTGAGGATTCGTCCAGGTGTACATTTCATTAGTATTTCTAAGCTAGGCCCTACTGTATTGGGTTTAATTATTCATAGGCCGGTTGAATACAAAATACATGGGTGTTAAATCTGTGCGTATATGTCTCCGTGGTGTAGTCGTATTACACTCGTCTTGATAGCGAGGGGTTGCAAGTTCGAAGCCCACTATTGACGTGTCCTCGTATAACTGAAATAAGGATTTTTTCATCGAAGAACTTATTAAGATTGTAACAACATGTTCCTAATCCGTAACTGTTATTATGGTTATTAATCTATTTGTTTCATATTGTTCTTAAAGTACTGCTACGAATTTTATCAGTACAGTTATAAACTATGCAGCATTCCTGATTAATACTATGTAATAAATGAACTAAATACATATTTTATATTGATTAATGAGAAATGTGATAAAAAAAAAAACAAACAAAAGAGGCAGACAGACGAAAGTTTAGCAAATGGGGGAATAATCCTTATTGCTTAGCATTAGTGCAAAAGAGATCAAAATATTCTTAAAGCTGTTTGAACTTTTTTATTGCAATTTCTTACAAAAATTGTCTCACTTTCAGTGGAAAATTAAAATAGAAATTAAATGTAATTAATAACATAGAATGCAAATGTTGATGTGCACTCTGTTATACCTACAATAAACAGTAAGGACGGAAGGATGGTCTGAGAAGATGTACTTGTCTTGGTCGAATAGTTGAATTTCACATTTAAATCTTCTTTGATTATCGTTTCTTACAGGTTTTGCGATAACCAGATCAGCTTTCCCATTTTTTCTGGTTCTGAGGGTGTAACGTCCATTGACTGTCTTGACATCATTTACAATACCGGAAACAATAATGCCTCCGTCTTCATTAACTTCATCCCATTTAATGATTTGTAATTCAGATCTATCTTTTAAATAGTCACATGGCATTACTACTTCAGTGTCTCCTTCGCTGGCCACCTGGTCAGATGATGAAATCAACTGACCATATGCCTCTACAAAAAAATTAATTTATTATGTAAGATATAATTCATACATCTATGACAAACAAATTTATCAAATTCTATTGTTAACTAATCACAAAAACATTTATTTGCTGATTAAAAAAAAAAAACACCATTACTTGGGTACGTCAGTATTCGGGTTCTTTAAGGTAAGTACCGGTATTCACTAAATAGACGACTTACACATATATATAAATTTCAATTAAAATTTTCATTTGTTATTTTCATAATCCAAGCACTGGAAAATTACACCACAACTAACAAAAATAAACCCAAATATTTCAAGCAATGGAAAACACAATGGCGTAAAAGTACGAAGACTAAGTAATTGCGAAGAAACCCGCATTCGGTAGGGACATCTCAGAGTGTTTATAGTTTATAGTTAGAGTAAGCGAAAATTATATCTTCAAGAAAAAAGGCGAAAAAACTAGGACGGTTGACGCGGCAAATGAAAATAAAATGAATCAAGGAAAAATAATCCTGAAAAAGGTAGTTTATTTTTGTTATAAGTCTATTAACAATTGTTTAGAATTTCTAATATGACTTCAATGTAGGCAGAATTTTCTAATTACTACGAGGTACTGCAAGCTCAAAATGTTGGATTTTCCGTGTACCAGGAAAACACTACTGATTGCTGGTAAAATAGTTATCTAGCCACATAAATTATTAGCTACTGTAAGTAAATTAGGTAATAAATATTTGTTTGTTATATTTAAAAAGACACATTAGATAGCTTCAATATCACTTCATTAATTTTGTGTCGTACTCCCACGAAAAAATCTTTCGCAAACTAAACATATTATCAATTGTCTTCAAGAAGTAATTAAGTAAGTCTTCAAAAACAGAATTAGATGTGCTAAGAAGTGGATTCTAACAATTTTGAACCCTTGCCATTTTTGCAGATTAATAGTATTCGGTACACAAAGTAATATGATAATTTACACAACCTACCATTAAAATTAGACATACTGTGCTGCAGCATCATGAAATACACTAGCAACCACTGAAATAGATATTGAATAACATTTACTCCTAGATGAAATATCGAAAGATATATGGTATTTCGTGTTATATAAAGGGTATGTGTGTATGTATGTATGAATGTAGTGAAACTTCTATAGACCGAGTTCTCTATGCGGTGAGTGAACCGAAAATAAGAAAGGAAAAACTGAACCAAGATCTATCCTAAGCTACATAATTGTACAAGTATATATACTGTCTCTTATACACATCTAGATGTGTATAAGAGACAGATGTTGATGTGCACTCTGTTATACCTACAATAAACAGTAAGGACGGAAGGATGGTCTGAGAAGATGTACTTGTCTTGGTCGAATAGTTGAATTTCACATTTAAATCTTCTTTGATTATCGTTTCTTACAGGTTTTGCGATAACCAGATCAGCTTTCCCATTTTTTCTGGTTCTGAGGGTGTAACGTCCATTGACTGTCTTGACATCATTTACAATACCGGAAACAATAATGCCTCCGTCTTCATTAACTTCATCCCATTTAATGATTTGTAATTCAGATCTATCTTTTAAATAGTCACATGGCATTACTACTTCAGTGTCTCCTTCGCTGGCCACCTGGTCAGATGATGAAATCAACTGACCATATGCCTCTACAAAAAAATTAATTTATTATGTAAGATATAATTCATACATCTATGACAAACAAATTTATCAAATTCTATTGTTAACTAATCACAAAAACATTTATTTGCTGATTAAAAAAAAAAAAACCATTACTTGGGTACGTCAGTATTCGGGTTCTTTAAGGTAAGTACCGGTATTCACTAAATAGACGACTTACACATATATATAAATTTCAATTAAAATTTTCATTTGTTATTTTCATAATCCAAGCACTGGAAAATTACACCACAACTAACAAAAATAAACCCAAATATTTCAAGCAATGGAAAACACAATGGCGTAAAAGTACGAAGACTAAGTAATTGCGAAGAAACCCGCATTCGGTAGGGACATCTCAGAGTGTTTATAGTTTATAGTTAGAGTAAGCGAAAATTATATCTTCAAGAAAAAAGGCGAAAAAACTAGGACGGTTGACGCGGCAAATGAAAATAAAATGAATCAAGGAAAAATAATCCTGAAAAAGGTAGTTTATTTTTGTTATAAGTCTATTAACAATTGTTTAGAATTTCTAATATGACTTCAATGTAGGCAGAATTTTCTAATTACTACGAGGTACTGCAAGCTCAAAATGTTGGATTTTCCGTGTACCAGGAAAACACTACTGATTGCTGGTAAAATAGTTATCTAGCCACATAAATTATTAGCTACTGTAAGTAAATTAGGTAATAAATATTTGTTTGTTATATTTAAAAAGACACATTAGATAGCTTCAATATCACTTCATTAATTTTGTGTCGTACTCCCACGAAAAAATCTTTCGCAAACTAAACATATTATCAATTGTCTTCAAGAAGTAATTAAGTAAGTCTTCAAAAACAGAATTAGATGTGCTAAGAAGTGGATTCTAACAATTTTGAACCCTTGCCATTTTTGCAGATTAATAGTATTCGGTACACAAAGTAATATGATAATTTACACAACCTACCATTAAAATTAGACATACTGTGCTGCAGCATCATGAAATACACTAGCAACCACTGAAATAGATATTGAATAACATTTACTCCTAGATGAAATATCGAAAGATATATGGTATTTCGTGTTATATAAAGGGTATGTGTGTATGTATGTATGAATGTAGTGAAACTTCTATAGACCGAGTTCTCTATGCGGTGAGTGAACCGAAAATAAGAAAGGAAAAACTGAACCAAGATCCTGTCTCTTATACACATCTAGAATGTGTATAAGAGACAGATATAATAGGAACCATAATCAATTATATCA